TAGCACAATTACGTCCATAAATGTTTTATGAGAACCTTGGAATATTCTCAAAAGATAAGAGAGACGTATAAAATATATGTAAAGGATGTTCGAACACATTAAGAATATTAATTGATAACATTTTCAATGAGAATTGGTAGGAAAGCTCAAAGAATGTTCCACCAAATCTTCACAAAATATTCCAGAATATTCTATGATTTAGTGAAACATTCTCTGGATTTAAAATAACAAAAATAATCTCAATTGGATACTCTGCAAAAAATCTTTCTAAGTAATATTCCTAACAGAATATTCCTAAAACATTCAAAATATTCAAAACAGAATTTCGAACTATTTTAGGAATAGTCTACAAATATTCAGTACGAATATTCTCAATAAAAATGTTGGTACCAATATTAAAAAAAGAATATTGTCCAACATCAAGTATCTATAAAATGTGTGCGCTGAAAGAAATGTTTAATACATACAATTATTTATTTTGTTGATATGTCACTAACAAAGACTTTCTTACTTTTTTATTAAAAAATTGTGTCGTTCTAATCAAATATGTTGTTTTAATCAAAATTTAGTTAGTCTAATCAAATTTTGATAGAACAACACAATATTTTAATAAAAAAAAATAACAAAATTTTTATTAATCACATGTCAAAAAAATAAATGGTTATACGTACCAAAACATTTCTCTCAGTGTGCTATCTTGATATTTTAAGTAAAATAAAGAATTATATATTATTAATTTTAATTTAGTTGTCTCCAATGCAATACGTTACACTATTTCGATATACGTAAAAGTAAAGTGTCGTCGTAATGGAGTCAAATTGCTCCAATTGACGGTATCTTTGAAAAGCAAATAGTTTCGAGACTTTGTTGCTACGCACATATATGCGCGTATTCTTTTTCCGCGTAACAATCGTGAAATGGCTCTATCATTCGGCATTGTAACTTCGTTCAAATCCGTGACTAGCCGGGACATCGCTAATGACCAAGTCGCTGACTCACGAGATTCTCGCGATTCATGCGGTAACATGAGATTGCACGAGATATATCATACACGTGACAGTGCGGAATGTAGTCACTGATAAGAGCTGCACACACTTTCTGCAGCAGTAATCTCGAGATGTAAAAATTAGCCTAGTCACAGTCTAGACTTATCAAAAACTCTCTGCTCTGATTGGTTGATTCTTATGATACATCTTACGATTACTGTTACAGAAATTTTGTTTG